CAGTCTGCACTTACCCCACTTTACCTTACGATATTTTATAAAACAATCATCAAGATGTTATTATACTGTTTCTAATAAAATGTAAATTAATTATTTATTGAATGATTGCAAATTAGAAGAATCGTTTATAATCACTGATTTATCACAATGAAGATTAACCGATCAATAATTGTAGTAACTATGATTACGGTCAGTAATCAATTACGTGTAAAAAGTAACTACTAATTACTCAACTCTTGGAATCTCATTCACACTGTTATTTTTCTTTATTTTTGGAACAGCGTTCAAATATGATCCTGGCCTGTGGATACTTAACAAAACTCTACTGTATATTCAAAAAAATTGACATAAGAAACATAGTTAATTAGTTTGAATTCATAATAAATTCTTGGAATATAAATTTTATTTAAGAGATTAAATACAAAGGAAAGTAGAATGTTTTAGACTATTGCAGATAAAATGATCGACTTTCGTTTTCTGAATGAAAATATTATTTTGAAATAACAATTTTAGGAACAACTTAAAGATAACAGAAAACTTCTAATGTTATCAAACAATACATTGCTATTAAAATAGCTAAATTTTATTCGAAAATCTTTGAATTTCTATTGAGAACAGAACTATTCATTATTTTTTAACATTCTGTTTCAAATTATTTCAAGCAACCTTATATTTCAAAATCGATTATTTTACGTACAATAATCCGTTAAATTATCCACCTTATAATAAACGCCAGCCTTAAGCTAGACCATTAATTATCCTAAGTATAAATCATTATAATTATCTTCATTATCCTTAAATTAGCAATTAATCAGAATATTCGTAGTTATTCTTAATTAAACACGAAATTATCGCTCATTTTATAAATAAAAGTTTACCTTCATTTTAGTAGGAAAAAATAAAAATTAATGTTTATACTCTTGTCTTAACTTAATATCCTTTGTATTTAATTTCATCATTTTACGAACAGTAAAAGAGTTATCTGAGAAGACATATCGCTTAACAGCGTATTAAATATCAACGCAATATCGTAAACATTTTTGTACGTAAGTTACATCGTTTTAACGATCGTATAGTAAAATAATTTCCATCGAGTATGATCACATGAAAAATCTAATTTGCGATACACGTTCTTCTGTGCCTGTTCCACTTCGCTTAAATAATCAAAATCATGGAAAAAAATAATGCGAAACAGAGTTGAGCTTCCTTCGAACAAATTTTAATAGCAATATTTTCATGAGTCGCTCAAAAAATGACTAATAAACTTGCCATAAAATTATAGCACAAGTACCCTACTTCTAATTTTATTTTTGAACAGAATTACCCCTTTTTAAGTATTCTAATAGAAAAAATCTGAAAAATAAGTTTTGGATAAAAAGAAAGTGGACCATTTAAGATACTTTCCATTTTTCTTTCAACGCATTTGAAAGGTGCATGATACGATTTTTATCACTAATAGATTTTTTATTGAGATTTAACAAAAATAAAGCTCAACTCTTTACACAGAATCGCACGATTCTACATCTACTGCTACCAGAATGAGCTACAATCAAAAGCAGTCTTTTAACTCGAAATGCACATGAACTGCGGCGACTGTGTTATCGAAAATGTTTCTACGACTACCTCGTTCTAAAAGTGTCATTAACACCTTACCAACTGAATTTATTAACAGATTTTGTGGTATCAACAATTATTAACTGAGTGAAAATTACCTGCATTTGTATGTTTAAATATTTTTCACAAAGCTTTACGCTGCTATGCAGAATTATTACAAAATTAACAGAATAATCGATCGATAATTCCCCGCTGCCGGGGATTTTGAGGTGGATCTTTCTAAGAAACAGGGAATTATCGAGTATCAACTTCTATTTATTGTTGACAAATTAAGGACTTCATAATATTAATACTGTTTCAATTTTTAGTTGAGGATAATAAAAAAGAAACAAGTTGTGCAGCATAGGTTAAAAATGAGATATATGGGCAGATATTAAATTATCTCAATGTTTAAATGTAAGTTAAATAACTTTGTTCTTCCAATTTTATTTATGAGGAGAAACCTTTTAATACTTGTACTTTTGTTTCTAATTGAAAAGTGGAAATAAGGCTATAAGTATTAAATCTAAGTTCTGAGGACAATTTGTTATACACCAAAATGTCATATTTATTGATAAAATATATCAAAACTTGAAAATAATTGTGGTAACAGTTTCAACTATATTTGTTATATTTTTATCCATGTGACATTGACCTTCAGAAACACCCATTTTACAAACTCAAAGCAATCTTTTTATTAATGACACTTAAAGCCTATTTTATTTTCACTTTTCCATTGTTATCTGGGAATATGCATTGCATGCATGTTATTCTGGTTTGTAAAAATTTTGTGTTGGACAATTACAATTACCTACAGTAATGAAAGCAGTAAATTAGAAAGTAAAACTATCGCAACCTGTATAATTGAAATTGCGATACACAGTGTAACATATGACAATTTTTGCTGTATCTTTTAATCCATCAATAAATCAATAGCACTTATTCATTTCATTGGCCAACAGTAAGTAAGGTGTTAAGAGATACTCTTAGTCTACAGTGTTAACCCTTCGTTGCACTTCTTCAATTTTGTAAAAAAATACATTTGTGAACTCTGACAAATAGCAGTAATAAAGAAATAATAAATTAGTGTTTCCTATGTTATAAATTTATATAATATAAATTTGTACAATACAAAAATCCATCAATAAAATTTATAATTTTAATTTACAGTTACAATCACAATTATAATTTACAAATTTATAAGCTTGTACTGTACAAATTTAAAATAACAAAATTGTATAATATTGCAAATCTGCAGTATTATATCAATTTTAAATAAAAAATTGTAATTAGAAAAGATTTGATACTTTTAATAGTAATAACATATACATTTTATGTACGTTTTATAAAATACAAACGTTGTATAATTTATACTTGCAATATAATGCAACGAAAGGTTAAAAAACCCAAAAACTTCAAAAAAATCTCTTAAGAATTGTTTCATTTTTTTTCGTAGAAGAGCATCAATTTTCAGACCGCGTTAACAATGAGGAAACTTATTGTCGCGTGATTTTGGCACAGAAGCTGTTAGCGAATGCCGCTGCACATGTAACATTCGAAAAATTCGTCAAACCATTAAATATTTCTCTCATACCGCCTGAAAATCGCATTCAAAGCTTTCGATTGAGCTTCGAAGCACGAATTTCACCTTCTCTCTGTGTACAAGGATGAAAATCTACCTTCCACTAATATTTTAAATCAAATCCTCCAATTCTTTCGCATCTACCTTAAAAATCAATAGTCAAAGCTGTTCTTTACTTTTGTAAAGAATTTCTTTACATTTTGCACTGAGGTTACAAAGAATGCAATTACTGTACACGATTGACCCTTTAGGCTCTGAGGTAACATGTCAAATTTCTATTGTAAATTCAAAATATTTTTTCTAATTTTTTCTTACATATTTAATTATTATCTGAACATACAATACAGTATCTTAATGATCTGTTATAATTTAGGAATGCCATTATTTTTAGATACTGTGTCATTTTCAAGTGACAAGAGCATTAACGTTTGTACAAAGAGAGAAGGTTAAATCAAGTACAACGCAAAATTCGCTTTCTCCCCTTCCTCGCGTCTCGTGCACGCTCGCTAATTTCCTGGCGCTATTTACAGCGGTCGACTACGTTTTGTCCCTCTATGGTGACGATCAAAACGAAAACGTTCGATCGAGAGAGAATAAACACGACACGGGTATTTTATCGACGCGTTTCTGCAGCGTTTGACATTAAAAATTTAGAAACTGTGCTGTCGACTTTGATACGCCACGGAGTCAGACCCAAGGATTGTTCTCAGTCTACAGATCCCCTTCTCTGCCGATAACGTCCTTTAAAACCTTCAACTAGTTAAGAATCTTGCGTTTCACCTAGAAACAGTATATTTCAAAATTAATTATAGTGAATACAGTAGTGCCTGGTTAAGTGTCCGTAATCCACGCTTGGACGCTTATCTAGGTAGACTTCTGAGAATTTTAGTGAACTATAAAGAAGCAACAAATGTGAACAATCATACCCTAAGTTACATCAAACTTGGGTTTTTTATACTTACATTCATTTCTATTGGCAACCGTACTATACATGAAACTATCCATATGTAATAGTTACATTTTTATATTTAACTATATTGTTTTAATTATGAATCTATAAAAACTGAATTAAGTGTACAAAATAGAATTGTTTCATTCAAACTTTCTTTCTGAAATAATCGACAGTGTTATACATCTGATTTATTTACTTGTTTATGTTAATAAATAATAGTAAAATTAACATAACATTTCCATTTTTATAATGAAATTAAACTGAGAAACAAAGCTTCATTTACAAACCTTGGCTCTGACATATGAAAAAGTTATGACATATTTTTTATTAATGTTTGAAAATACAATAATTTAATAATGAATATTTTCTTTATAATAATGTGATCAAAAGTTATAACTCTTTAACCATAACAGTACATTTCACATTGTTTTCTTTACATATTCTTGACAATAATATATTTAAACAAGTCATTTTTTCAATCTATTATAATCTTTATTTAAAATGTTTAAAGAAGCTGTATAAAGTTTTTCAGATTTTTTAAAATTCACTACGATTTGAAGGTACCAAAAATATGTTTGTGGAATTAACTATTTCTCTAGTCGGAGTTTACGAATCAACTATCATTACTTTTAACTTTATTTGAATGACATGAATTTTGAGAAACTTCTAGACAAAATGGAGCCAACCATAACCCTATTTGAATTATTAATAATTCGGTAGTGATTCTATTCAAAGAAATTCCTGAGAAGAAATCAATGATAAAGAACGGTAAACAGAAATTTTATAACATTCTTATATTCTCTTAAATAAACTATTTACTTATGAAGAATACGTATGTATATAGATATAAAAACATGAATATGTTACACGATGGATATACAACAAAATTTATTTCTACAAATTTTCCTGATCTCTAAATTATTTGATAGATATCTCTTTCTCGCTAAAAATTAACGGATTCATTCGACGCTATACATATTGAACACAAAGACCCCTAACACGACCCCAATATAAACGTAACAAAACATTATAATTCAGTTATCAGATAAATCAAACGAGACAAATGTTTTTATCGAACATGCGTTACTTTTGTGTATCGAAGTTGTCTTTCAATTGTCGTAACTTACATTTTATAACAAAATTTCGTCTACAAAAGATTTTCTATGTAAATAAAAAGATACCATGACATGATTAACAAAATTGCATACATTAAAAAAACATTCTTAACAGAAGATAAAAATATAAACGGAACGTAGACGAAGATAATAAAAAATCTAGTCGCATATACTAACAAGTATGTGAAGCAAATTATAATCATTACAGAGTTTTTTTTTATTATTCCATAAATCATCAGGAAGACTAAACTTAAATCGAAATAAAAATAAATAATTTGAAGGTTCGTGTCTTAAACGAGAAATAAACGATAATGTTTGTCCGTCTTTCTTTTTTTTTGCAAAATCTTATAATCTACGCAAGAGGTTAAGCTATAGTACAACTGCTTTTGGATATTAGCTCCGTTTAGAAACGTTCGATCACGACGTGTAAAAATATTAGCGATATATATCTTAACTTCACGAGTTTTAAGTGTACGTAATTATACAAATAACGCAAATAGCGATCTTGGATAATGTCGACGTCATTTCGATTTCCGTTTTCCTCTTTTCTTGTTTAGCTTGTGCTAAAAATCTGGCACTAATTTTCAATACAATTTTTCTAATTGAGAAAAATAACAATCGTTCCACTATCACTATGTGTAAATATAAAAGGAAGTTCTTCTATTCGTATTTCTATATGTCTGATTTCCATGCAACGTTTCCTTTTATTTAGAAACTTTTCTGTAAAGATTTTAGAATAAAAACTATTATATCAAAAATATATTAAAATAATAATTGTGAGCAAATACTGAATTTTGGATTTCAGGAAATTGCTCTAAACAAAAGAAAATGTGCTTTAAAAAAAAAAAGCAAAATCAAAGGAAACAAAAATGTATGGTAACAGAACTAATATTTGTCGAGAAATATATTCGTATTTTTAATAAAGATCACAGTAGAAAAATGAAATTGTTTTCTTTCTAATTCCTCAAGTAGGTAAAGTATTACAAGCTATCCCAATTATTTTAAAAACGATACGCCATGCAACTTTCATTATGATTCCAATGAAAATCGAAAAAACGTAACAGTATCATTTTAATATACTTATATAATACAAGCCGGGCCAAAAATTTGTGGAGTAACAAGAAAAATCATAGACTCCTCGTGTAAAGCTGTGAATTACAATATGCTCACGAGAAGCTTCGTTTTTGAAAAAAAAATAGTTTTGAATATTCGCTGAGATTTGCACCGTATCACCCAATTTACATTTATCATTTTATAAACGCTAACAAAGACATAACGAGATTTTGATTAAACTTTTACAATCCGTTTATTCAGTACATTAAATCAAATCTATTAAAGTATTTAATTGCAATCACTGCACCGTGTGTGGCGCAATGAATGCTTTAGGGTGGAAAATAACATAGAGAAGTTCACAAATGTTATTTTAAAAATTTATTTTATTTTCAATAAATTTTCGAATATTGTCGTAGCGAAAGGGTTAATGAAATAAACGAACTTTCCTAAACTCTTCCACTATTTTCCTAATCCTAGCAGCTTGTAAAAACGGCAAATACAACAAATCATTCTTATCATACAACAAACCTCAACCTTCCTACACAGGTACACAACGAATTTTCAAGACCATCATTCGCTCAAAAACGAAGGCTCGTGTTACAAAATTTTGTTCCATCTTTCCACATGACATTCACACAAGGAATTCATCATACTTTCTCGGTTCAACCACAAATTTCAACCATAACCTGTACGAGTTGTCAAGATAGCAATAGTAATCGTTTACAGATCCATAATGATGTAAGGTATATCACTTCTGTAAACCATAACGGTTACTTTCTCAACATCTTGTACATTCATGCTCGCGTTTAACACGTATCTAAAGAGAGAAAGCTCGAAACGTTGAATCCCTAATCAGAAGAGAAAAACGAATGAACGATCCACGCGAGTACACCATTTAGTGGCCGTTAAATTTCGATAAGAACATCAGAGACGAATGAACAGAACGATTCCCTAATCTATATACCTCGTTCAGGTAAAGTTCAGCTCGCTGGCGTCACTTGGGACACCGTAAACGGTGTTACTTGATACAGAAAACACCTGTTGCACACTCGTACGGGTTTCATGTGCCCGTAGCGTGGCAGGGGAACGTTGTTGCTGCTACAACGACCGCAGAACACCTTGCCACAATTCCTGCAATGGTGTCTACGTCGAACCACAGTAAAGCCTGCTTGACAAGCCATACATCTTGGTGCATCGTTGTCTGGAATCCAGGCTGGAGCTCTTTCTACGCACTCTTCACCTCGCTCGGTCACTGGAGAAGCTGCAATTAATAAACTATGCATTAATAATATGCAACAAATTGTAGTAATATGTAACTAAGTAATATCTTATAGTTATATGGTATTATAAAGGAAAGTAGAGGAATATAAAATAGTAAACTGTGCAATTGCTAGAATATTTCTCTTGGAAATTAATATATTATATTAATATAACTGATAAGTTTATTACACATCAATTATTTGGAACTTACAGTTATTAAGATATACAATAAGAGAAAGTGTTATATAAGTTCTATGAATATGTCACTTTTAGACTAATTAGTTCCATGTAGTGTAATAATTATTGTTGTGAATTAACTCTTTATATTATAAGTTATTCAGCAGTTGCGTCAGTTAGAACTATTTACTGCAACGATAAGGATATAAAAAAAGTTTTAAATGTCATGCCTATTTGGTCTTTAGCGATCCTTGACTGAGCAAATTATAATTACATCTAAATTTAAAATTTAGCATATTAAAAATATCAAAAAGATTAATCAGGTTGCAAATGCATCACAAAATGTTACTCGTCAAAGTGCAAAAATATGTAATGCACATTGTATTGCACTATAAAAATCATAAAACACACAGGGTACATACATCTTAGTATTTCAGATTTTATTCAAGAATATCTCTCCCTGCTTATTAAATAACTATTTAATAATTATACATACTTGTATTTTGGTCATTAGCTGCGGTGGTCTCTTCCAAATCGTCTTCATACTCTTGCAACGAGTCCTGTCGGTCGTGATTAGTACCCGTATCATTTAGAAGGTTACCCAACTGATTCTCCGATGTTAAACTTTCGTCTTTTGCTTCACCTTCTTCCATGGTTTGACTACTGTTCATAAGGAACACGCACTTTAAGATGTTTCTCAAATCAGACGCAAAATTCGTCTGCAACTGATCTGCTACGCCGGCTATGCACACAAATAATCGATGCACGAGATCCTCTGATGACCTAAAACAGTCAGAATCCATAGTTTATGTAACATTTAATTGATTCACATTCGTGGAATATTTATAATAACTTTTGATAATTTTGTCAATGTATAAATGCAAGTGTAACTAACGTAAATATTTGTGTTTGTATTAAGAGTTTTTAGTCTTACTTTTCTTTATCGAAATGTTAACTGTTTCTTAGGAGATAAAACAGCTCCTCATTCTATTTGCAAAATAGGAACAGTGGTACTGGTGCCATCTAGCGGCAGCTATGCACATTTCAACTTCCAGATAAAAGGACCTACTTTTAGAGCTTATTTTCTCAAGTAAAATCAATGATTTCTGAGTTATGTCAATAATCATGCAAACCGACAGTATCAGTTCATCACAATTACCAAGTAATAGAATACATTTTCTTAATATACATATAGATATTTAACTTTAATTTTTCAACGTGAAGAAACTTGTTGAGACCCAAAGAGGATGCTTCAAACTGTTTTCTTGTAGGAACCTCTAATCAAACAAAAGAATGAATACATATTTCATATTACTTCTCTACAATCATTCAAGGGCAAATAAAATCAGGAGCTCATCATTCCCTCATTTATAATGTAATAAACAAAAATTCGTTTAGAGGTAGGAAATAATTTTACCGAAATTTCGCCCGAATCTGATTTCTGTTCGCAATCTCCGCGGCCTGCATGGCCAGAGCGATTTCTTCATCGTCCTGACACTCGCTTTGGAACTCGCTAGTCTCCGAGCTGGAATCGCAGCAACTCGAACAGCTAGAACTGGATCCTAGATCCGGCTTCTGGATCAACGACGACTGATCCGAGCTGAACGACTGTGTTCCTTGAACCGTGGACGCATTCACCAGTCTTACCGCTCGCGTGGCTCGCTGCGAGTTATTGTCTTTTTGCGTCCCATACGAGAAGCTCTGCGTCGTCGTAGGAGAAACCGGCTCGTTCGCCAGTCCACTTTTATCCGTCCTTGGTCCCAACCCGTCGTTCATCAGTTCACTAGGACTTCTACTGCCCAATTTCCTCTTCGTTTGTTCCGCTCGGGGGTTCGCCCGTTCGTACTTGTCCCTCTTCTCCAGATCCCTCCTCTTTATTCTGTTCATCTGTTCGGACCTAGACCTTCTGTGATCCAGAAGCTTTCTGTTCTGAGGGGATAGGTTTCTCTGTGTTCTGGAGGCGATACTGCAGTTCCTCTGACTAGCCGTGCAACGCGTTTCAAAGTGTTGCAGCCTAGGACTAGCACGAGGACTGTGACTCCCGAAGTTCGGCATTTGTCTAGTGTTCTGGCTGGGATGCAAACTAGCACCGTAGCTGATCAGCCTGGTGTTCAAACAGCGATCTGTCGAGTTTGATCTAGAACTCTCAGTGCTTGCTGACGTCTTCGCGTTCTGGAAGTTCTGCATTCTGTTCTCCTGATGGATCTTTTGGCTGTTCCTCTCGTGTTTACGCTGATGTCGCCGTTTCTGTCTCTCATCCCTCGCCTTCCTCGAGATCACTTTGTCCTGCGCGTACTGCTCGATTTTCGTGCCGACCTTGTCCATGTTCTGAGACGTGGATGGACAATTCTCGCACTTTAAATCGCTCCAGAATTCCCTCCTCGACGTGGACGCGTCGATACTCAGGTTCAGGTTCTCCCAGTTCTCAGAGTAGTTGATCTGGAAGCTGGACTGGTTCGAATCGCACACGGATATCTGTCCATTGCCATAGGCAACCCCGACGAACTCTTCGTTCGTTCCATCGAAATTCGACGATATTCTTGGAACGTTCTTCGCTCCTTCCGTGTTAGCCGCGTGCAGATTGTGTACCTCGATGGAGTGGTCCAGACAAGGGACCGTCTTTACATTCCGCAAGCTACAGACACACGAGTTGTCCGATATGGTAGAACTTTTCCTCTTCGGGGAGTTCAGATTCGAGCACGAGTAACTGGTATTCTCTTGCGTGTCATCATCGTCCAACACCTGCTCATCCTGTTGTATCTCGTTGGCGAACGTTTTCTTCTCTTCGGGGCTCTTATCGTAGAGGCTGGTGTTCTCCGATGAAATTACTGTGCAAATTCCTGAATCAGTTTGCTCGGAGATCTCGTTCTGGCACTCTCCGTCTAGCAGGAGGTTCGATAACGTTTTATTTGCCTCCGAAATGAGTTTCCTCGAGTCGAGGTCCGGCAAAGAGTTCTGAATGTGCACGGTATCAACGGACACATTGTTCTCGTGCGATACTTGGTTCAGCAGGTACTGTGTCTGTGGGATTTCGATGTTCTCCGAAGTGCCGAGTATCTCGGATATATCAGAAGCGGTTAGTTCCTCTTGTTTATGCAGTTGGTCGTCACGTCTGTTCTCGTTCACGCTGGAAACGTTGTCTTCGGTGACGATTTGGCTCGCGTTGCTTTGATCTATCAAAAGATTCGCGTTCACCTCGATTATCCTCGAGCGAGGACTATCGTCGTCGCAAGAGGATCTCCTACCGTTGCTCGAACTACTACACCCTTTCTTAACGTGATATTGCACTTCGTCGCGAACACTGTCCCGATCACTGGATGTCCTCCCATCACCGTTACACATCACAGTCTCCTCAAACACGTCCGTAGATATGTTTAAGCGATTAGGCCCAATTTCTATACTACTATTCTTGGTCTCGTATCTCTCACTCTCCTGATCGCTGTTCCGTTCCGATAAACGATTCGCGTCCTCGTTTTCGTCGTCCAACGTTCGGACAACGTCGTTCGCCACCTCGTCCATGTTGTTCCCGGTGTTTCTCGTCACTGTGTAAAAATCTACGATGAAGTCTTTGCAGTTCGGGTAACCGGTATAAAAATTGTGAACGAACTCCTCGAGGTCTGGAATGTCTTGGCACGCGGACTTCGAGGACTGCGTGAGCGGAGCCGACGGTTCCTCGTTCGAGCACAACAGCTTCTCCAACATGTACAGTTCGCGGTTGTTTAACGTCCACAAAAGCTCTCTTATTTTTAAAAGAAGCGTCTGAAAGTAAACAAATAATTTTTAGTTACTTTAAACAATACATGTATTATCTATACAATTTGAATTACATTCTGAAATTGATCTAAGTCTGTATGTAGGACATAATGAAAGTAATATACAGGGTGGTTCATTTAAGTCAGACTTCTCAATATGTATGATTCTGTGAAAAAATACTTAGGTATGGTGTTATATATTAACTTTTACAATGAGATAATGTTTAAGTCTGTCCTTCAGTAGTTCACTTTTAGATAATCATCTGTTCAATGAATGTTATACATTCCTGCTTTCCAAAGCAAACGCATGACAAATCGAACTTGAATACTGACAAACTAGTTTGTTTGTTTAAAAACCCCTCAAGGTAAAAAATTGCAGATATTGTATACTCAAATAATATTTGTCTCTTAGTAGATTAGATGACCATCTAATGTGAAACTTCTCGTAGCAAAAACAGGACAAGCGATCAAATATTTTCAGTTACAGTGATTTGTGTCCTTACCCTAAAAGGTCTAAACATTTCGCTGATGTTGTCCGGGGAATTGAGGCACAGTGGGCCCCCGGGTGGAGCCAAGAGGCCAGAAACAATCGCCAAACGAGGAATGGTAAACATCAGGGCTGGCTCGTAATTGTCCACATCAGCCTGGCTAAGCAAACCGCGCTCGAGTGCTCTCTGCAACGTCTCCGAAAATAAAACGCACACAAGCTCTTGCTGCTCGTATTCTTTCGTCGATTTCACCGGCACCATGGCGCCCACGTAGCACAGTTCAAAATCAGCGAACAGACGATCGAAGATCTTCAACGACTCGATCAGCTTCTCTAGAGACGGATCCAAAGGGTTCTGCGTCTGAAAGAGATACTGACAATGGAAAAATCAGTCGGTTATCACTGTACACCCGGGTGCAACGTAGGCTTCTTTATAATAAGAACACGTGTAAACAATTTTTAAATTTTTACAGACTTTTTTTAAATATTAATTTTCAAATTTTCGAATCTGGACTAGTTAGGTTGCACAGAGTGGTAAGATTATTAGATTCGCTCCTGGATCACATAAAAGTAGCACAAAGTAGAGTTGATATTATGTTACTTTGCAGTATAAAGTTCGGTAGAGATGACTACACAAATATAATATTGAATCTTAAATTTCTAATCGATATACCTATTTCTTGATGTCACTAACACTGGAGGTACCAAACCGGTTGGATGACTAGCTACAACTTTCTTATTTTAAATGAAAAAACTTGTTAAGATGCTTTTCTCGAAATCTATGTCGAATTTTATCAGGACAGATAATTAATGTGTATACATTTTATCCGTTAAGTATTTTCAATTGCAAACTTTCTATGTCTGTTAAATTTTAAAATTTCTAACATCGCATATTACCAAGTCTAAATTTCCAAACTCACAAATTGTACTTACACAAAATACCAGTCAAGCATAAGTGAAATTTATGGTTAACACCTAACCATAAAAAAAAAATGTTCTAACTTGTCCAATAAATCGAGTAAATGACAAGGACAAGCATGCTGTACATATTCTGTATGAAAATATCTTAGCAAGGATCGCGACATTATAATGCAAATACACAAAAGATTCTGGATCTGGCAACCTTCATTATTCTATCTCGCTGGAAGGATTCCATATTCTTAGTTCTTGTGAAGTACAGTCGAGATCAAATCTGGTTTTTAATAGAAAACTAGGAAAAATATAGCAAATAAAGATATAACACATTTGTCAATGTTTAGGGATCTTTGTTGGAGAAGTAGGTCACATAGGAGTTTTCAAATTTTGATATTTAGTAATGTGGAAATCTGGGAATTTGGAGCTGTGGGGATTTAGGGATACAGGGATTTTTAGATCTAGGGATTTCGGAATATAGTATTTTGGGTTATAGAGATTTTGAGATCTAGGGACTTTGGGATCTAGGGAGTTTGGGATCTAGGGAGTTTGGGACCTAAGGAGTTTGGAACCTAGAGAGTTTGGGACCTAGGGAGTTTGGGATCTAGAAAGTTTGGGATCTAGAGAGTTTGAGATCTAGAAATTTTGCGATCTGGGGATTTTGGGATCTAGGGAGTTTGGGATCTAGGGAGATTGGGATCTAGGGAGTTTGGGATCTAGGGAGTTTGGGACCTAAGGCGTTTGAGATCTAGGGACTTTGGGATCTAGGGAGTTTGGGATCTAGAAAGTTTGGGATCTAGAGAGTTTGAGATCTAGGGACTTTGGGATCTAGGGAGTTTGGGATCTAGAAAGTTTGGGATCTAGAGAGTTTGAGATCTAGGGACTTTGGGATCTAGGGAGTTGTTTGGGAGAGATCTAGAGATTTTGGGATCTGGGGATTTTGGGATCTAGGGAGTTTGGGATCTAGAGAGTTTGAGATCTAGAGATTTTGGGATCTGGGGATTTTGGGATCTAGGGAGTTTGGGATCTAGAGAGTTTGAGATCTAGAGATTTTGGGATCTGGGGATTTTGGGATCTAGGGAGTTTGGGATCTAGAGAGTTTGAGATCTAGAGATTTTGGGATCTGGGGATTTTGGGATCTAGGGAGTTTGGGATCTAGAGAGTTTGAGATCTAGAGATTTTGGGATCTGGGGATTTTGGGATCTAGGGAGTTTGGGATCTAGGGAGTTTGGGATCTAGGGAGTTTGGGATCTAGGGAGTTTGGGATCTAGGAATTTACAGATATAGGGATTTAGTAATTGGGAATCTGTAAATTTTGATGTATAGAGAATCCAAAAATAGAGAAACCTAAAAATTTAAGATAGGAATTTAGGTACTTTAGTATTTGAATACCTAGGAATTTTGGGATATAGGAATGTTGAATGTAAGGATTCTGAGCCCCTCGAATTTGTTAACTCAGTGATTTTTGTATATAAAGAATTGGAGATCTATGAAGATTAATATTAATCTAGAAATTGCATACTTGGACATCTAGGGATTTGAGAATATTAAGATTTGGAAATTAAAAAATTTGAAAAGAATAGTTGAGCAACACCTCAATTCAAGGATCTGAATAGTAAAAAAAATATAGAATTTTGGAATTTAAAAATTCTTATTTGGAAACAAACATATTGAGTTCACACATGTGTCCTTATACCATCCGTTGGAAAGCAACGTTGCATCCGAATGTACGCGTAAGTCTAAGTGACCCAGTATTTTTGTTCTTTAACGATCCACTGCTTTCCCCTTACATTTGAAAGAAGTGTACGTATACTGCCAAAGACAATTTTACGAACATCCTCACGAAAGTGTGAAAAATTCGACTCCGACCACAAACCACTCCGCATGCTCTATTCCTGTATCGCTACGATCTAATTATTTAAAAGAAGCAGTAATTACTACATGTTAATAAAATCAGAATAAAAATGATTGTAAGATGATTGCGATTTTCTTCACTTATTTCGCATGTGCTAAAAACAAAATTGACATTCGAGTAATTACTGCGGCCTCGAAAGAGTATCATACGAAAGAGAAAGTTACACATGGCTAGCAACATACGTTGCATCAAGGAACGTGTTCCAAGTGCATTTCTCGTGTTAAGTTTAACACGGTTTAGACTCACGATCATTGGCGTAACTAGTATTTTTGTTTAAGGCAAGGTTGTAGTATGTATTAGGTCGAGTCATAAGTAACTTCCGTTTTTTTATCAGACATTTATTTCGTTCTCATTAAACAACAAAATTATATTATTTTATTATACATATTCACCACTATTTTCTATAACCTTCTCCCATTTTCTTGGTAGTTTATCAATTCCTTCCTTGTAAAATGTGGTTGGTTTGGACTGGAAGAAGCTTTCAACAGCCTGCCTGACTTGTTCTTCAGAATTGAAGGTTTTTCCATTTAAAAAGTTTTGTAAGGAACAGAAAAGGTGGTAGTCTGTCGGGGCAAGATCTGAGAAGTAAGGTGGATGTGGTAAAACAGACCATCCAAGCTCAAGAATTTTTTCTTGAGTCACCCTTGCTGTATGCGGTCGCGCGTTGTCGTGTAAAAGAATGATATTTCTGCGATTGACGAGTGCAGGGCGCTTTTCTAGGAGTTTCTCTTGCACTCTTTGCAATTGCTGAATGTATTTATCCGCAGTAATCGTTAAATTTGACTTCAACAACTCGTGGTGACTTATACCTTCATAATCTCACCATAATACTGCATCGGAAGTTACTTATGACTCGACCTAATA